CACCCCATGAATACACTATGACTTTTATTTAAATTTCACCAATTTCTGTAAAGGTTAATATAAGTTTAAAATCCGTATCTATAAATTACAATGAAATCAGACCATTTTTGTACATTTAAATTGAAATGGATGGAAAAAGCTTTTTATTTTTCAGTTATTTTATCAATTTATATTTTAATTCTTTACGTTCTTTTCAAACAGTATTTGACTAGTGCCAGTATGACATCATGTATGTCCCCCTTAAAAATATTAAATTTAATGTACATGACACAAATCATTATTTTACAACCATTTTGTATTGTGGAGAATATAATAAAATTATTGCCTCATATATTATATAATACTATACTATTTCACTTTTTTTCTTATAATTTCTATTATAGCATTTTCTTATCATTTCTATTATAGCATTTTCTTATAATTTCTATTATAGCATTAACAAAATAAATCAGATTAACAAGAGTATTCTAGTTCTTATCTGTTTTATACGTAACTACTTAGATTATATGTGATAATGGTTACATATGTCTCTTATAAATCTCAGTTGATTGGTCTTATATGTATTTTAAATGTATATACTGTATTTGTAAATGTGAGAAAGAGACTTAAATAAACAAAATAAATATGTATAAACAACATAATGATCAATAGAGGTATGTATAATGTAATTACTTAATAAGCTAGTTAAGACAATCTTCTTTTTAAAGAAAAAAACATTGGTCACATGGTGTCTTGTTTCTGAGATCATATGATTCTAGAAACCAAGCAGAAACTAAGCAGTTCTTTACCAACAGAGATACCATGAATATAAAAAAACAATCTCGTCATTTACAATTTTTATACAAAGTATTCCTCCACGGATGCCGCAAGGATAATTTTGTTATATTTACATAGTTTTCCTGGGAAAGTTTTATCCCTTATGAAACCAACAGGTATTTAGAAAATCATTAATGAAGAAAGTTTCCTGGTTTCCTGGACAGCTTTATCCCTTATGAAGGATAACAAGACCTTTAATCAGAGGCAACAAAATGTTCTAAGAAAAAAATATATCCCTTACAAAAGAAACATGTTTCATTTACTATTGAGGAGAATAATTGTTTAGAAAGAAATTATCCATGCGTAAGCCACTTACATCCTTAGCTGTCAATCAAAAAATGTCTTGTCTTTTGCTATAATAATTAACTTCTTATTCAAGAAATAAATTTTGAGAAGCCAAGTAAAACAGAGGAAGTTTTAAAGGCTCATTTAGGCCACAAACAATATTTTTTATTTCTAAAACAATTTGTGTGTATGTTTTTTTTGTGATCTGTTACAGGTTTTCAAAAAGTTCCTCATTGGCTATAATATTGCAGCTGAACCTTCTACAGTTGCATTTTTAACATTTAGTACAGTTGTAGTGATTTAGTATACTTATTATGTGGAAGTTAAAATACCACTTTGTTAACATTTTGCTTCCTTCATGATAATTGATATCATTTCACATGTAGAGCTACTTTCTTCAAGTGATAATTATCTAACATGCTCTAAATCTTTTACTGTAACATTTATAACGCATGTTTGCTCAGTCTGTAAAAGACAAAAAAAAAATCTATTCCTCAGGCTTTATGTGCCTTTAAACATTTTATCTTGTTAAAGACTCATTGGTACTATTACAAATGCAATACTTACTCAAAATTAAATACACAATGAAGGTTGCTTTGTAGGCTAAAGTAAATTATTTACAACCAAAGGTAGTATTTTATAATATTATTTATAAGAAGACAAAGAGAAATAATATTTAATTGTACATTCATAGAAACTTTGATCTACTTTTACCTATCATTTGTAACCAGAAGTAGTTTAATCACTCATAACTTTATCTTTGTGAAGGCAAATAACTATGTCTTTGTGAAGGCAAATAACTATATCTTTGTGAAGGCAAATAACTACATCTTTGTGAAGGCAAATAACTAAATATCTTTGTGAAGGCAAATAACTACATCTTTATGAAGGCAAATAACTAGATATCTTTGTGAATGCAAATCACTAGACATCTTTGAGAAGGCAAATTATTATATCTTTGTTAAGGCAAACTACTATATCTTTGTGAGGACAAATTACTATAATCTTTCTGAAGGCAAAAAACTTTCTCTTTGTGAAGGCAAACAACTACATGTATATCTGTGTGAAGGCAAATAACTTGATATCTTTGTGAAGGCATATACACTATGTCACTATCTTTCTAAAGGCAAATATACCTATCTTTGTGAAGGCAAATAGCTATCTTTGTGAAGGCAAATATAACTACATGTATCTTTGTGAAGGCAAAGAGCTATCTTTGTGAAGGCAAATATTATCTTTTTGATGAAAAATATAACTATCTTTGTGAATGATTATAACTTTATCTATGCGAAGGCAAATTACTATATCTTCTATATCTTTGAAGGCAAGAGTAAGCATTTAGAGGTAGTATTTTGTGTATTATTTATGTAAGTACAGCATATGGAAAGCAAAGAAAAATCATTTACAACTATAAAAGCAGTATTTCTATGTGCTATTAATATGTTAAGGCATAGAGAAGTCACACAACATTTGAAATGTTGCTCTTTTTTAAATTATATCTTTATGAAAGCAAAAAGAAATAATTTACAACCAAAGAAGCAGCTTTTTAACAATTTGTCTATAATGGCAAAGACAAATAGCTCAAGATCAGAGAAGTTGCTCTTTTTTTAATTATAATATCTATGTGAAGGCAAAGAGATGTCACTCAAAATTAAAGAGGTCACCTAATCTTTGTGAAGGCAAAGAAAAACTGTTTACAAGTAAAGAAGAATTTTTCAAGCATTTATCTATGAGAATAACAAAATGAAATCACTTACAATTAAAGAGATTGTTTTCGATGATCTATCCATAAAAAGGCAAAGATAATTCATTTATTGTTGAAGAAGGATTCTTTTTTTTGTAAAAGAAAAGAGAAATTGACCAACATTTCTTGATGAATTTATTTTGTTTGAAGGCTATAGTAAATTAACTAAGGTTGTTTGTTTAATTCCAGATGTTTTTTAAATATAAGTAACAAGACCAGTTTTAATATAAGTAACTAACAAGTACTTACCATTACAGAGGCAGTTTTTCTGGAAGGTTTTATCCCTCGTGAAGGCAACAAGAACAAAGGCAACACATGACAGAAACAGCAACGTACATATAGCCAACAAATATTTCTCTCGTACTGTCCACTTCCTGTGACAAGTCCGACCTCGAGAAATCATTATTCCTCCATTTAAATTCTTCATTTCACTGTTTCTGCAACTTTCAGATTTTGAATTCCGAACATTGGAATTGTTTCTAGCAGTGACAGAGGGATCGTTGGAGATGCGCGTATTTCCGCATTCATCAACAACAGTTTCCGCGGTAACGTAATGACTAGGTTGGTGGTAACCTACACCACCATTTATCTCCATGTTTGAGGTAGATAACTGATTGTCCTGCCTTATATTTGACATCTCCTTTAATCTATTATTCCTTCTCTAAGAAAGAAACACTTTTCATCAATATCTTGGCAATTTGCCACAATCTCAGTACGCAATCAGAGTTGCATAATCTTGTTAAAAAGATTTTCTGTTAATTACTTTCAGAATAAATTACACGCAAATGAACAAATAATTTATTGATACTTGTGCAGTCTTATTTTTTTTCTCACTAACTTATTTTCAAATATTTCATTACCAAATATAATTCTAATCATGAAATGCTGTCACTTTTAACATAAAAATATAAATAAGAAAATATTCATCCTTCACTTTTTAATCCTCTTCTTTTTGTGATCTATTTACATCCACTTATCTTCTTATATCATTTCAACAACCGAGTGATCATCAATATTCAATCACATATAAAAAAAAATACCGTAACATTAAAACTCCAAAAATTTGAAATGCAGATTTTTTTTTAATAAAAAAATAATATCCTCCTTTCACATTATAATCCAGTTTTTCCCTTTTTTTCCCCTGTAATTCACTTTTATCTATACTTCACTGTATACAGTACACTTCAATCATGTGAGAGTGGGTTGAAAAATCAAAACTGTTTTTCAACAAGCCACTACTGTAAGTTTTAAAACCAGCCTATGATCAGTGATTTGTGCAAATGTGCTTTTCGCATGCTAGACTTTCATTAATAAACACTATAGCACCTTTAAGTTAGCTTTACAGCACATTCATGCTTGTATATAATCTTTTTTTATTATTATTATTTTTCAGCAAAATATGTACTGTCCTGTATACAGTGTAAATGGTTACCCTAAAAAATGCTATATTTAAATGTCAAACAATTTTCCCAATTACAAAGATTTTTTAAGCTGAAAATTTTTGATTTTCATTAATTATTTTCCAATTATATTTTTTTTTTCAAGATTATTATTTTTTCCTTTTCTACCTTAAGTTATATATTTCTAATCTTAAATCATATTTTTAATATGCACCAATTTTCCCTATTCTCCAATTAAATCACACCATCAAGTAATTTAAATAGTGTAATATTCATTTCACTCGCTATAACTTCACGACCAAACAAATTCCACTTACGAGTAAACCGGGACAGCTCGAGGATATGAAATACAATATAATCAATTTTCAAAATATTTTTCTTCCATTTACGAGAATGATAATCCAGTTTGCAAATTCACTATGAAAATATGTAAAAATCCGTTTTGTTAGTAAAGTCATGTTATGAGAAAATAACTTCCACGTTTTCTGGTTTAGGTCCTACTGTGTAAATTGGATTGTATTATCATATGTGCATTATAACTTCATTCCTCATATTCTTCACATTTCCTCCGACATATTTATATTATACAATATTACATACATCACGTATCCCAAAAAACAATCACCTATTAACTTATAAGTCAAATATTTTTTACGCCAGTTACATTTTAGTGGTATAGTGACTAGTCACTCAAACATTCCTGAATTTATAATTCAATTAAATCCAAATCATAAGGATCGCCAATTATCCACATCTATCTTTTTCTTTCTTCATTTATTTTTCATATATATAATATACATTTATCTATTATTTTCTAACTTCAGTTTTATACAAAATGAACCTTATTTCTCAGATTAATCTTGAATCAATTTTTTGCGTTGAAATTATTCAGCACGCCAATTACTCCTTTTGTCTTTGCATGGTGAGATGTGACATCAGTCGTGTAAATTAATCAAATTATTATTGTCTATGTCATTACCGACACTGTGATCATCGTCATTGTCGTCGAAGTAAACCTGTGACATCTACATTAACCCTATATCTGATACAACAAGAATGATTGTCCACACGTTTATACAATAGCCGAGTCAGATTATCCAGTCGTATCTGATTTTCGTATAAAAGCTTTTCACTGAGCCTCTCAATTGCAGCAGACGTCAGTTTCCCGCTCTTAGACAAATGAGCATTGAGCCGATTTTTGGTACGTTTTGTAGACAAATAATTACAGGGTTTTTTTCTACAGGAAATTTGTAAGACATAGTAAAATACTGTTTTGCTTACATTGATTTGCATATCAATAAAACTGATAGAAAGATCTGTGTCTCTTTTGTGAATAATTTTCTAAGGGAAATGTACATTTATCTTGTCTTTTCATGTTACGCTTTAAGAAACAAGGTTCTTTGAATTACATATTTAACCCCAACATTTCCGCAACAGAAAGATTTTGTTTCGTACATTAATTTCTTTCACAATCGGTTTCATACAAAGAAGGTTGCATCATTTCTTTCAAGGATCAATCATGTACAGATTTGCGTCTCAGAAGTATAACTCCTCCGTTCAAAATACGAAATTAAAATCTTGCGAGATCAGTTTCAATGCAATTAACATTACATCAAAGCTTTATGAAAGAATAAGTGGCTAAATTTAAACATAATTGCCATCTACAATGATATATTCAACTGATATACAATATTGAAAGTTTCTCCTTAATTGTATATACTTCAAATACTTAATTTCAGTAATTTAAATTTAATTACAGTTTATCTTTCTATTTAAAAGTGAATTAAGAGTGCAATCATGTAATATTGCTGAATTTCACTTCAATTAAAAATAAAAAAGATAATTCAAAATTGCCCGAGAAAATATGTAAATTGCAGTTTTCAATTCATTATAAAGTCCTTGTTCTTTTGTAAACATTCAACGTTTCCATGTTTGTTAATTCTCTGTCATTTTCAAAAGCCGGAGAAAAAATTCCTTTCAACAATTATTACTCTAGTGGTTTTATTGTTATTTTAGACATCATCTCTCCTAAACTGCACAAAAGCGACACAGCCGACTATTATCTAAAAACGTTTTTAGACTTCGTTCAATTCTTTTTTTTAAAACAAATTGTCATGTTAGCTAATTAGTGAACAAATTCAACAAAAAAAAATCTTTTTCCACTCTTAATTACAAAGACAAATATTTTGAAAGCACTCAGCGAAAAAAAAAAAAAACTGAAATTTTTTTTTATCTTTCGATCCACCGATATTCAATATTATCAGTAGCTGATATCAGTATTAAATAACCACTTTACCGGCTTATACCACGTTTAACAGTGCATTATGGCTATTTATCAGTTAGCATGTTATCTTAGCCGGCTCTTTGTTGCGTTAGTGATTGTAGTATCTCGTCCCTATCGCAACATATTGAAGTCGGCGGATAAATGAAAGTGCAACAGTAAGATCGGTCATCCATCTTGCTATCAAAACCGACATTGGCAAATCCCATCCATTTTCCGTCTGCTGAATATCATTTGTTTTATGAAATGAAAACAAACGTCCCCGTCTCTGCCTTCAATACCATTATCTTCATCGGATATCAGCGCAAGCATCTCTACAAAATACAGATATATAAAAACATTTTCCAGTAGGCATGATGATTTACTGCTTTCTCCTCAATAAAACTACAAGAAATAAAAAAATATTTAATAAATCATAAATATGTCACCCTTTTTTTTCTTTAAAAAAAAAAAATAGGCCTCCCCAACCACTTCAGTAAGTAAATAACACAGTTTAACAGTAAATGGTGAGAAATGATATCAATTTCCCTTTGATACCTCAATTCTCATATCTCAAATTTGAAATTTTTCAGTTACAGAATTTTTTATTTTTCATTTTCTTGTGGTTTCTGCTTAAATTTTTTTTAAGCATTTTTTACTATTTCTGAAATGATGACTGGAAACATTTTTTCAACAAGAGATGGAAATCATTTTTATATATAGATTGTTATAGGCATTGTATTTACATGCTTCATGCAATAAACTTTTGAAAAAAACATGGACTTTAATTGGAAATTGTAATATAAATCCGTGAAAAAAAACAAAACAAAAAAACAACTGATTTTTTAAGATCCTGTAACACAATTTTTTTATGGTTTTAAATCATAAATATGATACTCAAATTAAGATTTATCAATATTGTAGGTTCCAAAAAGATATTGCCGAATTTAACATTTCATGTAAATAAAGGGAGGTAATTAGAAATTAACTTTCTATAAAATTTAGGTCAAATTTTATAATAAGAAATGAATGCATATATTTTAATGATTACATAATATGCACAAATATTTGCAGTACATATTTTACATATTCTTCAATGTTTGAAAATTGTTGTATTTGCATAATAATGTACATATATATAATTTCACATAGTATGGTACACCACTTTGATCACAACTTACAGGATCTTTAAATCTAAAAACAATTATCAAAATTTATGGTAAATGTTACATTCATGTTCTTTTTGCATCTTCCCTTCATTTATTTGGTTTACAGTTATATCATAACATTCAAGTGACGCACCCCTTATTTCATAGGTGACCCTCCATTTAATTACTTAGTAAATGTCCCTCTATTTAATTACTAAATAAATGACCCTCCATTTAATTATTAAGTAACATTAAATTACTATGTAAATGTCCCTCCTGTTAGTTACTTAGTAAATGACCCTCCGTTTAATTACTTATTAAATGTCCCTTCATTACTTAGTAAATGTCCCTCCATTTAATTACTTAATAAATGACCCTCCATTTAATTATTAAGTAACATTAAATTACTATGTAAATGTCCCTCCTGTTAGTTACTTAGTAAATGGCCCTCCGTTTAATTACTTATTAAATGTCCCTTCATTACTTAGTAAATGACCCTCTGTTTAATTACTTATTAAATGTCCCTTCATTCAATTACTTCGCAAATGTTCCTCAATTAAATTACTTAGTTTATTGTACCTCCATTAATTTTATTATAATAAATCAGTATGTTTCCTTCCCGTAAAAAGCTCATAGTGGCTCCTTTCTTCATTTTTTTCCTTAAGTGTCCCACTCATTATTCATCATAGCATAGATGACACTTCCCTATATTATTTAATATGTGCCCCACCATTTATTAATATATATACATGTCTGTGAGGAAGCTAACCTGAGCTGGCTTACTGAAAGTCAGTGCTGATTGTTCTCAGGTGCCAACTTAAATCTAGAATAAACCACAAAAAGAGCATTGATATCTTCCTTTACCACTAAAGCTGGAAAGTTGCTGAATGACCATTATAGTGTTGGTGTGACTTAAAATCCAACAAAACAAACAAAGAAAACATAGTTGTTATTTTATAGGTATCCCTCCTTTTATTATTATGTAGGTCCCTGCTTTTTATTATTTCAAATGTACCAATTCATGTATTATTTCACAGAATGATGCCCTATCCATATATTACTTTGAAGATGCCCCTCATTTTATAATTTCAGTGTAGGTGCATATGCATGAGCCTTTTCTTAAAGTTTGGTGGATAACTTCCTTACTTAAAGGTATAGCTTAGTGAATAGCTTCCAGCATGGTGAATAGCTTCCTAACTTGAAAGATTTCAACATCTCTAGTTGCATTCCAACCCACAATGGTGAAGAGTTAGTGATTCTTAATAAGTAACCTTGATCTCTCAGCCAGGGTGAGGGCCCCTTTCTATTATTGTATCAGTATTGTCAACTATGTTATTTTTAAATTCTACGAAAAAATAAAATATGCATGTACTATAGTAGTTTCATTACTTATATGATCACACAGATAAAATTTGAAGAAAAAACAACACACTAATCATCTCAATTTTATAGTTTTTCATTCAGTTCAAAATTATAATTTTACTTTAAAACTAAAATCCATAGTATTGAAAGCATGCTGTAAAAAAATAAAAATTAATTGAATTAATTGAATTCTGATAAGTTAAATATTTCTTTATTAATTAACACATAAATTCCCTACAATCTTTATAGTGACTAGAGGGTAAACCACATTTTCTAGCGCTTCACTATTTCTTCCATTTAATTTTACTGCATTGTTTTATCTCCTACGTTATGATTTTAACACATTTTATAAAGATGTGAAGAAAATTTCTAATTTCAGTTAACCGTCATCTTTCATTATCAATTTGTAGGAACTCTTTGAAGATTTGAATTACAGCAATCTTCAAAATACTAAAAGTATCTTGCATTCTTTGAAAAGGTCGATGAAAAGTCAAAACTGAACTGAATGATCAGATAGAGGTTAATTTTTCAAGTACATAAAAGGGTTTCTAATCTATTACACTCGCCATCAGTTGAAAATCTGCTAACATTGATGTTGGTAGTTGAGCATGATTTTTACATCTTTTAAATTAAAATTCCCTTTCGACATTTAGATAACAAAATAGAGAATTTATTGTATGAAAATTTAAAATTCTGAATGGGAATAATAATGAAACTTGATAATGAGTCAGGTGATACTTGAATTTCTCCTTAAATCATGTTTTAATAATGAAGGTTGAGGTTTTTCTGTTTGATACGAAGTTAAAGCATCACGGTGTTTTCTCATAAATACTGCATGCTGAGTGTAACGTCAATTGTCATTGGATAATCATGACATTTATATAATCTATATACATGGTGGTTGTAAAGTTTTGTTTCCTCAAATAAGGAATTGTGCTGATAATATAAATATGTTACAAAGATTCGTCGACAGGATAATTATTTTGGCTGTATAAACATTTTTTTGCAATATAACCCTTGCCTAGAGTCTTAGACTATGTTGTTGTGGTGGTTGTGTTGGTAGGTTCATTCCGGATCACGGCAGTCAGCCACATTGAATTTACCAGACGCAGGCTGTCAAGCAGTTTACCAGTACGAATAAAGTTGCCTTCACTTCCGCAAAGAACTGAAACTTCTGTACATGCAAGAGCAGAGGTACAGTTCGAATGACTGTAGGAAAGATTAACGAAAGTGACCGACATCGTCAGGGAATGGAACCTAGGTCGCCCGATTCCAAGTCAAACGTTCTTTCAGGTTATAGAAGCTTACATGTATAACTGTTTATATTTGGCCAAAACAATGGCATGCAAAATATATTTGTCATTTATAAAATATAAACTTCAGCTCAAAACAATAGCAATTCTAACTAACTCTCATTATAATCACTATGCTGTATATAGGAAGGTTGCTGTTTTAACGATAAACAATTTGCTTTTATTGAAGGTCATTCTGAAGATCATAAACATAAAGGGGGACAATCAATTGGGCCATTCTGTAAATCAGGAAGATAAAGGAGGAACATTTGATTGGGCTTTAGAGTAGGTCATTTTGTATTATCTTGATCATGAAGTGAGATAATTGATTGAGCTTTACTTCAAAATAACTTGTTCTATAGATCTTGATATCACTTGGCTTTACTGAGAGTCAAACTGTTTTTTTAATTGCCAGTCTGGTTCTTTATAACCAATTCTTTTTGTAACTTGCTGTAATGAAAATAGTGTGGTTTCCTAGATAACTGCAGGTTTTACATATTTCTATAATTTGTTACTTCCACTTTCTTATTCTATTGGTAATGATTTCGGCATTTAAAAATCACTTATCCATCAATTTTTAAATCTATAATGAAAGACATCACTCCACCATGTTTATAGATGGTGCTACATAAACAAATATGCACAATCATGTTCAGATCTAGGTGAAATTGGCAGGGACACCTTGCCTTCAGGGAATTCTATTTAACTACAGTAAAAACTCTGAAAACCGGACCCTCTCCGGACTTGAACAAAAGTCCGGTTTTCAGAGGATTCCGGTTTTCAGAGGTTTTTTACATTTATTGATAATTATGATGTGTTTGAACAATGACTTTGTTAAAACATTTTGTATTTACTTTTTAACATTTTTGTCGAAGTCATATTTTAATTTCTTTTAGCAATATTTTAATGTCTTAAGTAATTTTATTATCCAAATCCATGAATATAATTCAGAAAATCATAAATTAAAACACATTGTCTGAAATATATCTTTTTAATTGGCTTTTGAAATATGTAATTAATGGAATTTAGTATTACTATTTTTGCATATAGATCTAATAAATATCCAAACAATGATCAAAATTTTTAGCAAAAAAGGAATCATTTTACAAAAGTTTCTAATTCTTTTAGACATTTTATATCTAAAGAAGAAAAAACACACAACAAATTATAAACATTTAGAAAAATCATACCTATACAGGGAAAGGCACAATTATAATGAAAGAGCTATAATTTAATTGCCAATAAGAAATTAACACACACTAACAAGTGTTTTCACACCTGCATAGATAACAAGAGCTGTCGGAAGGACAGCACGCTCGACTATTCTAAGTGCTTGATAGTAAAAGAGCCTTGATAATGTTAAATTTTTTAAGTTCACAAAAGGGCTATTTTTTTTTTTATAAATTCATGTTATAGGCCTTAGAGAGAGTCTTATTATACAGTATTGGCTTGACTATTTGGAAGGTAATGTCACAAGGGTGTTTTATTGAATATAATAATACTAATTACCTATGAATACATAAATTTGACAGAAAAGGTACAAAGGCTTGTTATTAAGATGTTTTATCAAGAAATCACTGCTTTATTATTATGAATGCATAAAATTGTCCCAAAAAAGGCACAAAGTGACAAACCCTTCAGTAGTTATTGAGATAACAGCTTACAAACAAAACTTTACCATGAATTTCTAAGTTGAAAAAGGGGAGAAAAATCAGCCTAAATGCAAGATAGAATTATGGATCTTTGTCAGTGACCTACAATTATGACCCTAAATGCATATGTGAAGTTTTAAATAAATATCTTTAATATTTATTGAGATATGTAAAACTTGCATGTAAACATTAACCAAGAGACTAAGTAGAAAAGGGGATATGAATCAGCCTTAATGCAAGATAGAGTTATGGAACTTGGTCAGTGACATACAATTATGACCCTCCAATTATGACCCTAAGTGCATGTGTAAAGTTTCAAGTAAATATCTTTGAATACCTTTAACCTTTAACCAAAATTACTAAGTTTCAAAGGGGCAAATAATTCTGCAAATATTGCAGGCAGAGTTATGCAATTTTGCACACTGATGTACATTGTTACAACAAAAAAGTATTTTAAATTTCAATTGAATATCTCAAGCAATAATTGAGATATTTGACTTTACAAAAAAACTTTAACAAAAATTTCTAAGTTCCAAAGGAGCATAATTCTGTCAATATTGCAGGCAAAGTTATCCCACTTGTCAATCTGATGTACCTTGCTACTTTAAATAAGTATTGTAAGTTTAAATTGAATATCTCAAGCAATAATTGAGATATTTGACTTTACAAAAAACTTTAACCAAAACTTCTAAGTTAAAAAGGGGCATAATTCTGTCAATATTGTAGGCAGAGTTATCCAACTTGTCAATCTGATGTACCTTGTTACTATAAATAAGTATTGTAAGTGTCAATTGAATATCTCAAGCAATAATTGAGATATTTGACTTTACAAAAAACTTTAACCAAAATTTCTAAGTTAAAAAGGGGCATAATTCTGTCAATATTGTAGGCAGAGTTATCCAACTTGTCAATCTGATGTACCTTGTTACTATAAATAAGTATTGTAAGTGTCAATTGAATATCTCAAGCAATAATTGAGATATTTGACTTTACAAAAAACTTTAACCAAAATTTCTAAGTTAAAAAGGGGCATAATTCTGTCAATATTGTAGGCAGAGTTATCAAACTTGTCAATCTGATGTACCTTGTTACTATAAATAAGTATTGTAAGTTTCAATTGAATATCTCAAGTAATAATTGAGATATTTGACTTTACAAAAAACTTTAACCAACGCAGACGCCGACGCGGACGCGGACGCGGACGCCGGGGCGACTACAATAGCTCTCATATTCTTCGAATAGTCGAGCTAAAAAGGGATCATTAACTGGTAATTGAACATGTCACCTTTTGAGATTATGTTTTAATATACTTTAAAATACACAGAAAGTTGACACTTAAAATTGCTGTCCGGTTTTCAGAAGATATTTTTATGTAAGTTTAGCATTAGAAGGTACAGAAAAGCGTCCGGTTTTCGGAATTCAGAGGTTCCGGTATTCAGAGGATTTTTTTCAATGAACATATAAGGAGAAAATACGGGACTTTTGAAATGGTCCGGTTTTCAGAGGATTCCGGTTTTCAGAGGGTCCGGTTTTAAGAGTTTTTACTGTATATAACCATTGAAAATGTGGCAAATATGTTAGTGTTAGAGTACTGGTGTGTTTTAAAGAGTTACAGCCCTTTATTATATATTTATTATCTGCAGATTCATCAAGTTTGGAATTTTGAAAATATCAGTATATCATTTATAAATATTTATTTTTCTTCTCTCTTCTCATAGGATTTATGCCCAATTTTATTGTATTTGATCATGGTAATGTCTTCTTTTCTCGATTAACTAAATAATTCATAGCCCAATTAATTATAAAATTCTTCATTAACATATTAACCACCATAATTTAACACCTGTATTTATTATTCATTTAATTACCCTGGCAACACTTCTTCCATGTTTTAATCATTAAATGGTGATTACACATGCATAGCAAATTGCTGTTAAATAGTAAAACAATCTTTGCTCAATTAATCAATTATTTCATCAGCATAAATTAAATATTTTACAAAATGTTCCCCAATAAAAAGTACCTGTTTTTACAGAGTTTTACAATTTTGTTGGATTTTAAGTCACACTCAAGATAGTGTAAAGGTTATATGTAGATTATATGACAACTAGACTTTCCAGCTTTACTGGTGGAGGAAGATATCATATACCTAGCTCTTCATGCATTATTTCATGCACAAGCAGGCCTCTAACCAGAACCACCAAAGTTTCTTTAGCAAGCAGGATATCTACAGAATCACTTGCTCTAACCACAATGCATTTGAATCTCGCCTCAATGACATTGAATTAGTTTGAATCTATGAAGATATCCAGCCACCATACTTAAGATTGTTGGTTTTACTCATGTGCCTACATCATGAAGCTCTGAGGATATCAGAAAATTTTAAAGTTTACATACACTCATACTCAATTTCTGTGCAACTTTAAACCTAATAACCAAAAAAACAACAAGAATTGTCCAGAAGACAATTTGCTTGACTACTCTCAGTGCTTTACAGTGTTACAAGGGGTGTAACTATATAAAAAGGTAACTCAGAGTTATGGGACCTGTGCCTATCATGTTAGATAAACAATAGGGCCATGATGGCCCTAGATCGCTTATCTGACCCATCAAACTCATCCGAACAATTACCTAGACAAGCATTCTGACCAAGTTTCATGACAGGTGAGTCAAAAATGTGACCACTACAGTGTTAACAAGGATTATCCATATTTGAGCAGTGTGACCTAGTTTTTTACCCAGGTGACCCATATTCAAACTTGACCTAGAAATCATCAAAACAAACTTTCAGACCAATTTCCAGGATACTTGGATCAAAACAGTAGCAACTAGAGTGTTAACAAGAATTTTCTATTTTTAGCTCTGGTGACCTAGTTTCACATGCGATTTCGAACTCATCGAAGCAATTACCTAGAAAAGCATCCTGACCAAGTTTGATGATAATTGAGTCAAAAATGTGACCACTAGAGTGTTAACAAGGTTTTTCCATATTTGGGCGGTGTGACCTAGTTTTTCATCCGAGACGACCCATGTTCAAACCTGACTTAGAAATCATCAAAACAAACTTTCAGACCAATTTACAGGATATTTGGATCAAAACAGTAGCCACTAGAGTGTTAACAAGATGATTGAGGCAAAAATGTGACCGCTAGAGTGTTAACAAAGGTTTTTCTATTTTTAGCTCCGGTGACCTAGTTTTTCATCCGAGATGACCCATGTTCGAACTCATCCGAGCTATCAACTAGATAAGCATCCTGACCAAGTTTGATGATGATTGAGGCAAAAATGCTAGAGTGTTAACAACAAAATGTGGACGGACGACGGACAATCATCGATCCTAAAAGCTCATCCTGAGCATGCTCAGGTGAGGTAAAAAGGGACATTTAATGCAAAAACTTAACCAAAGTGTGAGAGGGACAATGACACAGACACTGCCGTGAGTCTATCCCTTGAACAGTGGAGCTATTGAACAGTTGAGCTACTGAACAGTCGAGGTATTTGAACAGTCGAGCTAAAAACAACAAAACTTGAAATGCCAGTCAATGACGTTTGAACAAATCGGCCAAAAATATATAAAATTTCTCCACATTAGTTTTGTTTGCATACCTGTTAATCAAAACATATGGTATAAAAACAATTTATATTGCAAATAGAAGTGTCAGTAAAACAATTACAATACAGGGGTATTTTAAGATTATATCAACACTACAACAATGTTAAACATTTCTACTTATCTATACATATCTAACTACCTATAGAGTTTGATATCAGAAATGTATTATTCATTTTGAAAAAAAAAAAAACCCTTATCTTAACTACACAATAAGCAGGTTGTTTTGATTATGGTATTTTAAAAAACATGGTGCTATATTAAACTGCTTTCTTGATAAATTTTCTAAAGGTAAACAATTTTTTTGGCAATAGATAAAAACTTGCCTTTGCTGCCAGTATTGTCGTCTGGACAAAGGCAAAATAGTTATGTGGCAATAAAAACTTGCCTTTGCCACCAGTATAAAACAATCCATTTATAAATAATAAAGTTTTAGCCAATAACAGCAAAAATCTAGCTAAATTTATTAATTTGACCTTCAAGGTCATTGACGAGTAAAGGTTATAATCAATTTGATCTACTTGAAAGTCTTGTCCAAAGGATTGTTGTATTCAAGTATGAAGACAATCAATTCATAAATAACATAGTTATTGCTAATTATAGCAAAAGCAACTAAAGACATTGGACCTTAAAGGTCAAGGTCATTTACAAGTCAAGATAAAGATCAGTCTGGTTTTCTTGAAGGTCTGGTCCAAATGATTGTTGTGTCCAAGTATGAAGACAATCCATTAAGAAATAGTAAAAAAATGGCCAATGCTTAGGTGTCTAAATGGCAACGACAATGGGAACAACAACCTGACTTTAGCAATAGCTCAAATTTTTTCTTGATTTCCATAACATCGTTATATGACAATTCAAATAGAAAACTCTTAAAATCAAATGCCTGTTCACTTTCATTTACTCTCTATTTTGCACTTTTTGTCATGGAAAAGAAGATAATAGTTACATGTATTACCTTTTCACAATGGTCAACAAGACAAAATGGCGGCACTTGAACTTCAGACTTGACATGAAAACAACGCCACACCAAATCTTCAGTCACTTTTAATGTCCCTTTATATCAGTTTTATGTCCCTGAAAATTCCCAAAATATATTCAAATTTACACGTAAATTAAAATAATGTATATAAATTAAACTTTACCTTTATTCATTTGAATGTAACTTTGCCTCTTTTTCAATTTTATTTTCTAAATAATGGGGCAATAAGTTAATAAAATCTTCAAACTTACTGAAGACTGGAAATTTCACAGATGAGAGTTCAAAGAACCCGTACAAGCTTAAAAGACATGTTTATGTCCATTTATACCATATTAACATGTCATAAAATGTTTCCTATGCCATAGATGCTTACAAAAATGTCAAGTATATGGCTATAAAATCACTTTTGACGGGAAACGGTCATAAAATGGATATTGAATGTTTTTATTCTGTTTGATTTTAAATTCACTTTTTTTTATAAACTTTAAAGCTTTAACATGTTTTTTTTTTTCTTAAACAGCGCTGTTAAATGTTACGCGTAAGTTTTTTTATTTATAATTCTGCCACATAAAGCAATGAGCACTGTATTCAATTGCAATTATTTAAATGGGTCACAAATGCCCAGATATAAGTGAGGGTGTTATATAAGTAAAACATAGGTTTGTGAGTAACAGTAAAAATATCATCCTGAAGAAAATAGTGTTACCTGAGAGTTACAGTATTTTTATGAAGGATGATATTTTTGCTGTTACCCACAAACCTATGTGTTATTTGTTTTATTACCCGTAACAAATACTTCATTGGGATACTTTTTCTATAGGTTTTTAGTTTTCAGATTTTTACTGTGAAAAAGTACTGTTACCTAATTGTAACAGTACAAATTTTTTAGTCACATGGCAATTTTCCGCAAATATGATGGATTGCTGTCCAGATGAAAAAATGGACAAGTCCGTTTAAGATATATAGTGTGTCAAGGCCATGCAGATAATTTTGTCACTTTGTACCTGTCGATATTTTCTTATTTCTATATAGAATTGTAAGAATGACAACAAGTGTACATGTTTAATTGTAGTAATGAACAAAATGCATAAAACAATTACGTTAATTAGAACATAACCTACATTTTCATCAAAATGAAAAACTTGGTAATTTATGAGTGCTTTGCTCGCTACCACTTTCTCTGCCTCCTCTTAAATCAATAAGTTTATGGATAATGCTTAATAAGCTTATTACATAAACTACCGACCGTATATTCTCTAAAGAAAACATCCTGGGGGTGCGGGGGGCGTTTATTACATTTTACAAATAGAGCCCATTAATTATGTTAAAAAAAAAAAATTCAAAATAAACATAATGTTGACTGTTTTTGTATTATTTTCTGCAGAATATTGTATAAGGATTGCCGCCAGGTGTGTTAGAATTTGTGCTTATTAATTTCCTCCGATTGATAATAGAATTTTATTGCTTTGTTAACTCAAGCTCTTTTTCTTCATTAAAAAGGGGATTGGTTTTAGCATTAATAAGTAGAAGGGCATTCTTTATAGAAGAATTATCATAAGTTCCTTTCTCATTTCAACACAAAAATATTCAAATAAAAGTCACCATTGTAACACACACACACAGAAAAAAAACAACTAGAAATTGTTAATAAATTTAAATTTTAATCATTAATAATAGAAAACACACAACAAATTTCACAAAAAGTTGTTTCGTTTTGCCGTTTTAATCAATCAAACTTTTAAAATTCTATTTGATTAAATTTTCTAGAAAGTCCTCGGAATCTCCTGTTCTGTTTATTTAAAGTTTCGAATCAGTCATCAGCAGCACACCGCGCTAATTTACTCTAGTTTATTGAGTTATAAACAATACTGCATCTGTCTAGAATCAGGAATTAATCAAATTTCTCGTACATTTATCAATTCTGTCTTATTGTACCGCTAATTATATTTCCATCAAGTTCCTAAAGTATAATAGATGTCCAGTGTTGTTCATATACTATCTTATTCTGAGTCATATATAATTATATGGAAAAAAAAATTTTGCAGAGAATTTTGACGCATCAGTTCTGAGTTTAAACAGTGCAACCTTTGCAAAGGTGCCCTCTGTTGGGCAATAACCTCTATGTAGCAACAGTGGTAACACTTCCCAAAGTAAGCAAGACTTCATAATAATATAATACTGCTAGATCACGACACAGAGCTATATATAATAATATAGAGAGGAAGCTATATTTTAATAATGCCAGTATGTTTGTGGGTGTTGGTGTGTTTAAGTGGCATTGGGTGGGGCTGGGGAAGAGTGGGGTGACTGTGCCCTACACATAAATGTAACTAACCTCTATCCAGCTTCATTTCTGAAATAGGCTTGCGTTGTATTGAATTTGATGCTGTGTTTAACTGAATGTCAAATTAAGCAGGCACGGGTATACTATTTTATTACTATATCTTAACTCTTGCTATACAAACCTGCAAACAAAGACCACCTAAATGAAACACAAAACATAGCCTTTGTGGACAAGTTGTTTTTATTGGGGGGGGGGGGGGGGTTCTGTTCAATGAAAAATTATTTTAATTCACAGGGTGGTCTTTATTCAGAGGTGGTCTTTAACACATGTTTGAGTGTATACTGGTGGCTATTATGACTGTGACTAAATAATTTTCACACTTAACAATAATTGAGCCACGCCACGACAAAACCAACATAGTGTGTTTGTGACCAGCATGGATCCAGACCAGCCTGCGCATCCGCGCAGTCTGATCAGGATCCAAGCTGTTCGCTCTCAGTTTCTCTACTTGTTATAGGGTCTGTAAGCGAACAGCATGGATCCTGATCAGACCCATTACGTTGGTTTTGTCCTGACGCAGCTCAATTATACCCACACCCACTCCAAGCAAGAAATTAACCCTCATGACTTAAACCCTGGTGGGGATATGTAATTCCTCCTAATTATAATCCATACAAAAATTAACATGATCAACATTTCCCTAAAGATATTGGGAAAAATATGAAATGGAAAAGAGTTAATATGCTCCCCCCAAAAATTATCAGCCTGCGTATGAAAGGTCATGGAATAAGTCGTACATTTTCAAAGCTTGTAGATTTCCCAAAGGTGTTGTCTTGATGGCATATTTGACTCTAAGTCTTCTTTCCTTATTGTTCTCCTGTCAAATCATTATGAGATGAATGTGTTTTAGGAAATACTTGATTTTTTTCAGTAGGTTTTTTCTTCTTCTTTGAATTTTGGAAGTCTAGATTATATATTTTAGATAACTTTGTTCTAGTACCGCAAATTCCTTATTATTTGTAGGATACTAATTTTCATGGTTTTCGTGGATATGTCAATAAAAAAAATTCATTTTGTCTGCTTTAAGATTATTTTGCATTACATTATTTACATTTACCTTTTTAAGCAATAGACAGTAGACAAATTCAACACACAAATTTATTAAGCTTTCTGACAAAACCATGAAATTTCATGCCCAAGAAATTAAGTGAATTCACAGTAGGTAAATGGTAGGGAGAGGTTAATGATGGGTTTATGTATGGTATGGACTACAAGCTCTCCACAATTTGATATGTTTTTTCAGGAACTTCTATTTAAGCCATGCTCTACAAGCCCTGCGTAATATGGCAAATTTTTTCATGAACTTCTGTTCAAGCCATGGACTTTAAGCATTGGAAAATATGGCATATTTTTTAATGAACTTCTGTTCAAACCATGGACTTTAAGCATTGGAAAATATGGCATATTTTTTCATGAACTTCTGTTCAAACCATGGACTTCAAGTCCTGAGCAATTTTGCATGTTTTTTCATTTTCTATTCAAGTCATGAACTGCCAGTCCTGCTAAATATGGCACTTTTTTTCATGACATTCTTGTTCATAATTTCAATGCTGGGTTCCCATTCCCTTTTAAATTATGCTTGTGATAAGTTCATATGGCCACCTTATCCAGTGCAATACAGCACATGTTCTTCCATGACTTCTTGTTTTTGATACTGTTATCGGGCCAAAGTGGGGCAACCCTAATCCTGACCAAAAATCTAACACTACCCTGTTTTTTTTTCTCTTACCTTTAATATTAAAATGTTTCACTTAAGGAAAAATAAAATAAATTGAAAATTCCAGCTTTTATCTAGTATATTATATTAAAAGCATAACTCATCTGAATTGAAATGTAATTATTAAAAGTCTTTCTCATATTTGCTCCTCTATGTTGGTAATTGTTAGTAATTACACCACAACAGTAATTACACCACAATTTTTATATTTAAAAGGCCCTCACCTTAATACTCCCACAAGAGGGTAAAATTTCCCGATTTTTACTATGTCACCTTTTTGATAATAACACATGTAATATTATTTGTCCTTCACTCTTCTTCAGTGCCAATCTTCCACCACTGATCAAAGTAATTTGGATGTGGGAAAGTTGTCTGTTACTTGTGTTTTAAGCCTTAACCTACTGAATTTTAGAAATGGATTTGTCCTGCTTTGAATTTGGAATAGTCCACTCAAAGGCAAAGGGATTTCAGATTCAAAGTACAAATATTGAGCTACAAACAGTATAGAACCTGGTCAGACTTTGAGGATGTAATGTCTCAGGTTAGCTTAATAGGTAGACATTGGACTATGAATTGGGAAACCCTGATGTCAATTCATGGACGGTGCAGGTCACTTTCATTATGATTGATTATGAAATCCTTTCTATAATCATTCACTCTATACCTCTGCTCTAGCTGACATGTACAGAAGTGACCAGTTCCTTGTGAAAGTGAAGGCAACTAGTACTGGTAAACTGCTAGACAGCTTGCCCAGGAACGATGCCATGGCTGAACTGTGCTCTGGCATACTGCCATGATCCAGAAGGGTAAACTACTACCACCATCACTGCAAAGATATTCAAGCCGGCCTGGCTCTGTACTGAAGGTAAATGCTTATCACGTTCAGTTCTACAAGGTTCAGGGTAAAAATGGTAAACAAGGATTGAACATTTACCTTTAACTTCCCAAACTTCTCACTGTACACATCTTGCTCTGGAATGTTTGAAGTATTCTAAACCCTGGTTTCTTTCACAACTACATTTTGATGTTATTTGGGCAACAACATTGTCTTCTGAAAAATAAAGTAACAATTTAGATAAATACAGAAAACGTGCATAAATAATACAATACTGAGTGAATTTGATATAAATGTACAAGGAGGAAAATCTATTTTTAGCCTCAGGGATCTTGACCTTTACAAAATCCATTTGACACTCAACACAAGGGTAGAAGTATTTTACAATTACCAGAAACAATGAACATTTAGAAAATCAGTGCTTTAAGGAAGATGCAATGGTAGGTTAGTGTTGAACAAACTAGAACTGCCACTGTCATGGCGTGAATAACCCCGCATACCACTTTGTCAGAATCAACAGTGACCATTGAGAGCTCAAAGACAACCTCTGTCACTAAGCATCAAAATCAAAAGGGGTCATCTACTAATCATGACTAACCTCCATGCCAAATATGATGACTGAGGGTCAAAGGATTCTTAAGTTATTGGGCGGACAAGCTTTTTGAAGTCAAGGCCCCTGTGACCTTGACCTTTAACCTGGTGACCTCAAAATCAATAGGGGTCATCAACTAATCATGACTAACCTCCATGCCAAATATGAAGACTGTGGGTCATAGGATTCTTAAGTTATTGGGTGGACAAGCTTTTTGAAGTCAAGGCCTGTGACCTTGACCTTTGATCTGGTGACCTCAAAATCAATAGAGGTCATCTACTAATCATGACTAACCTCCATGCCAAATATGAAGACTGTGGGTCAAAGGATTATTCAGGGCGGACAAGAAAAAAACCGATGGATGCCAGACGGCCGGACGGACAAGCTGATTCCAGTATACCCCCCTTACTACTTTGTTGTGCGGGGTTATAACAAGCAAAAATTCTTGCAAGCATAAAGTAAGGGTTTTTAGATTTGCTTTTTTATCAATTATAGCACAAAACTACACTCTTTTACAAAGCACCTGTGCTCAAAGATCTGACAGCAAATTGAACAATGTTCACTGAACACCACACAGTATTTTAACACAGGGGCACACAACAGGGAAACTGGAAAACCAGCAGTTGGGTACATGCAGTGATAAGGGCACTAAAGGAGGAGGAGGCCAGGTAACAAAATATTATAACAAAGTGGAAACATGGCAGTGGTTAATGCATTGGACAAGTAATCTAGGGTTTACTAGTTGTGAGGGTTGAAACCTTCTTATGGGCAAGCAGTTTTATCCTCAAGAGAAAAAGTTCACACCAACTGCTCATAACTGGTTGGTTTGAGGAATGGATTAGAAGGTGTGTCCATAAGCTAATAGATTCTGAAACAAATTGTGTGTAAACAAATAACACTTTTTTATTTACCTATATGTAAAAGGTTATTATAGAAGGTGACTGTATCTGTAATTTACAAAACTATCAAAGCTTAAAAAATAAGAATAAAGAACAACAACATATTTAAGAAATTTTAAAACCCGACATTGACCTAAAAGACACAAATCAGTTAATGTAAGCTGACGGAAAAAAATGTTAACATTGTGAAATGTCTCGACCAAATTCCCAAATCTAATCAGCATTTGTATTATATTTTGCCATAATATTTCCAAAGAAACCTTTCAAATTCTCATAAATGACCGTAAAAGATTGAAACACAACCATAATGTTGTCTGGAATAGGAAATCTTTTAATCTAGTAAAACACTGAATGTACCATATCGTAGCTTTCAGATGGTAATTATTAAATGAGACTATATACATGCTTAACTACAGTCGTGCGGAAATCTTCGACGTAAAAAATCTGATTTCATCAAACGTCAAGCAAAAAGTCACTCCAATCCATTTTCGCGAGCTCGGACATTACTAATAAAGGAAATGAAATGACAGATTTTGTGATTGAGATAAGTTGGTAATGATATCCTTGGCTCAAACCAATTTGCTCTTTTCTGAATTCTTTAAATGGAATTGTAATGTTTTGAAATTTGAATTAAGCAGAGATCCAGATAAAATGCCTGTCAGCGAAAAATACTCAGAGAAAATTCGAAGTTCAAAGCGATTTTAATATTTAAATAATGATGTCTTTATGCAGATGAATACTTAATAATTGTTCCATCAAGTAAAATGTTGTGAAGTTTATAAATTAGGTGATCAATAGCACATGGTTGTACTGCCTTAGGACAACTGTCGTCTGCATTAACTGTTAAATAACATTCAGATAGTTCAATAGAAACTGCAAGTACTTATGCCAAGAGAAAGATGAAATAGGCAGAACTTTTTAAAGCTTAAGAATGCATTATTACTATATAAAAACACTTTAAAGGGACTCCACTAAGGTTTTTTGACAAGTTGGGACTGGAAATATTTTTTTCAAGATTTTCATACTATTTGATGAATTCTAATACAAATATATTGTGTACAAAAAAATTCAGATAATTTGCTCGCTCGTTTTTTTCAAAATAATCAATTTTTGTTGTGCAAAATGCTTTTTACTCAAATTGGTCAAATAATCAAACTAGGTTTCAATTTTCAATTTAGTTTTCTGATATATTTCTTTATTACCCTTTTTTTGCTTATTTTACAATTTTAAGTGCCAAAGTTGATCTATGTAATTCAAATTTTAGGTTTCAAGGATTCTGAACCTCAGTGGAGCTTATTCTTTAAGATTTTCAAGCAAATTGAATAAGCGGACCTACATATGAATATTTCATAAATTTTTGCCCATTATGATATCATACAGGTGTCAATCTTTTGAAAAGAGAAAAAAGTTTCCAGCGGAATTTCAGATTTCTTTTTAATGGATGAGATACGATTTAGCACATGCACCCCCTGCAGACAATAATCATCTACGTAACACTGTTACTGTTTCTATAACATTCCGCATCAGAATATCTATCGTTTTAATGCCGGTTTATCATAGTCACATGCTCATTTTTGTGTGAAATAATCAAACTAGTAAATTAGAAATGTCTGTAGCTCCTGGCTGGAACAATGATAACATCTGACAGCTTGAAATTGTTTTAAATTTACTGTCTATAAAACATATTTTGTGACATCCATTTCCATGATGCCATGTTTATCTCTCTTCCTGCAAGGAAAATTGTTTGTAGAAGATGAAATACAATGATAAGGAAAGATGCAAAACCGTTGGGTTCATTTGGTATAGAAATGAAAATGGAAACATTAAATCTAAATGACGCAGTTTAAAAATTTCCTACCTCACACATTTTAATTTTTCTTAAAATTGTTAAATTTTGTACAAGTATGAAACTGCATGCAGGTGTATATCATAAGATAATATTGGAAGAACCTTAGTGTACTAGACAAAATATTGGCAGAACCTAAGTGTACTAGACAAAATATTGGCAGAACCTAAGTGTACTAGAGGAAATATTGGCAGAGCCTAAGTGTACTAGAGGAAATATTGGCAGAGCCTAAGTGTACTAGAGGAAATATTGGCAGAGCCTAAGTGTACTAGAGGAAATATTGGCAGGGCCTAAGTGTACTAGAGAACAAATTGGCAGAGCCTAAGTGTTCTAGAGGACATATTGGCAGGGCCTAAGTGTTCTAGAGAACAAATTGGCAGAGCCTAAGTGTTCAAGAGGACATATTGGCAGGGCCTAAGTGTTCTAAAGGACAAATTGGCAAGGGCCTAAGTGTTCTAGAGGACAAATTGGCAGAGCCTAAGTGTTCTAGAGAACAAATTGGCAGAGCCTAAGTGTTCAAGAGGACATATTGGCAGGGCCTAAGTGTTCTAGAGGACAAATTGGCAGGGCCTATGTGTTCTAGAGGACAAATTGGCAGAGCCTAAGTGTTCTAGAGGACATATTGGCAGGGCCTAAGTGTTCTAGAGGACAAATTGGCAGAGCCTAAGTGTTCTAGAGAACAAATTGGCAGAGCCTAAGTGTTCTAAAGAGGACATATTGGCAGGGCCTAAGTGTTCTAGAGGACAAATTGGCAGAGCCTAAGTGTTCTAGAGGACATATTGGCAGAGCCTAAGTGTTCTAGAGGACATATTGGCAGGCCTAAGTGTTCTAGAGAACAAATTGGCAGAGCCTAAGTGTTCAAGGGGACATATTGGCAGGCCTAAGTGTTCTAGAGGACAAATTGGCAGAGCCTAAGTGTTCTAGAGGACATATTGGCAGGGCCTAAGTGTTCTAGAGAACAAATTGGCAGAGCCTAAGTGTTCAAGAGGACATATTGGCAGGGCCTAAGTGTTCTAGAGGACAAATTGGCAGGGCCTAAGTGTTCTAGAGGACAAATTGGCAGAGCCTAAGTGTACTAGAGGACATATTGGCAGAGCCTAAGTGTACTAGAGGAAATATTGGCAGAGCCTAAGTGTACTAGAGGAAATATTGGCAGAGCCTAAGTGTACTAGAGGACATATTGGCAGAGCCTAAGTGTACTAGAGGACATATTGGCAGAGCCTAAGTGTACTAGAGGAAATATTGGCAGAGCCTAAGTGTACTAGAGGAAATATTGGCAGAGCCTAAGTGTTCTAGAGGACATATTGGCAGAGCCTAAGTATACTAGACGAAATATTGGGAGAGAACCTTAGTGTACTAGACAAAATATTGGGAGAACCTTAGTGTTCTAGAGGAAATATTGGCAGAGTCAATATTGGCAGAACCTATGTGTTCTAGAGGACATATTGGCAGAGATTAAGTCTACTAGAGGAAATATTGGCAAAGGCTTAGTATACTAGAGGACATATTGGCAGAGTCAATATTGGCAGAACCTACGGTATGTGTACTAGAGGAAATATTGGCAGAACCTAAGTGTACTAAAGGAAATAATGGCACAACATAAGTGCACAAAAGGTAATTTTAGCACAACCTTAGTGCACTAGTGGTTAAAATGTATATCCATCAATTTTATTAAAGTAAAATGAGCAAACTTATTTCAGAACGTGTATAATATTATATACCCTTAATTTAAGCACTATTACAGACCTACGGTATGCATATTGTATGAAGCGGCAACTTCAGTTTTCATGTGCTTGTTAGATGGACCACATAGCAGCTGAGTATTACAGATTTAGAAGCTTTTAATGTTTATTGTTCTGGTATAGTTTCCAAAAAAGTC